CTGCCTCAGATCTCATCTCCATCTCCATCTCCCCTCCTTCAGCTTCAGGCCATTCCCCCTTGTCCTATCACTACACTCCCTGATAAACAGTCCCTCCTTTTTGGAGGAAGAACCTGCAATGAACATTTAATTTGTGCATGAGGTAACATTGATGCCTCAGAACTGAAACTACACTTTAATATGGAATTAAAAATCTATTCTTCTGAAGGTAATGTTCAGCTAAGCCAAAATCGCTGCTTGCAATTTAAGTTTTGGGTTGGTTTTCTTTTTTATGGAATAAAGATTCAGTTCTGGCTCTTTAAAATTTGTTTATTTATTGAAATTACTGCATCGGTTTCTGTTGCAGTAGGGTTGGTCTTTAACTCTGTTACTGAATTGTTGTATAAGAGGTCTGCAGCAGAAACAGGTCCATCTGGTGTTTGTTGAACTGAGGCATGTGGGAACATAACTGACAGAGGCTTGCGGTGGGGTGATGGGTGCTAAATATGCTGTGTAAGCATGTAACAACACAGTTGTGTGTGAACTTGAAACACCTAGATGAGAGTAAGTTAACTGTATCTGTAATCATGTTAGCTTCAGATACAAAACAAAGTAAAAAGCTTGTGTGGGAATATTTTGATGTACTTATTTCAGAAACAAGCGCTATGAGTAAAGAAACTCAGCTAAAGTTAAAAACACATAAGAGATATTTATTTTTTTATAGTATGTATTTCACATTTGGTGATAACTCTGACCTGCTGTAGTGGCATGGTCATGAAAAAAGTCCTTTTCTTTAGAAACAAATTTACAGGGATTGTGATTACTGTCGTATATTAAAGGAGCAGCTTAAAAGGTCTGATTTCCTTTAAGCACACAACCAGCAATGCCATAGAAGCCTTAAACTTTTGAGTCAGATGCGTCAAAATTTGACATGGCTGCTCTGTTGGCCTATTCCTGCCTGCGGGAGGTGTTTTCTCTGGATGTGAGATGGAGACGTGTCAGTAGCTCTGTTTTTTATTTATTTATTTATTTATTTATTTTTAATTAAAATACCCAAAGTTTGAGATATGCCACTGGCTAGAGACAAAGAAAATAGTGGCTGGCACCTGTTATT